CAAGGACATTAGCCACATTACACGTCAGAAACTAATATACAATATACACAATTTCATTAACAAAGACATACCGAAAATGTACTTTCCGTTTTGTTTGTTTTTTTAACACAACCGTGTTCATTTGTAATTGTTCTCTAAGTAAATAAACCACCATCTTTTGTATGAAGTGTCAAAAGTGTCGAGATAGTTCATCTTGAGTTATTTGTCTTTACGTTTACATGTAATGTCATGAAATGATATTCCTTATATGAATTAATGGTATGAATCCTTATGATCCTTATTAATCTTATGAATCCTTATTTTATATGACAGATATTCCTTATTTTCCCATTATAATCCAATAACCTACACAAGTATATAAAAATATGTTATTGAATTGGTTATTTCAGTGTCAACAAATCACAGATAGCTATCAGATTCAGCATGAGTTAATAATTTACAGAACCCTATATATATTCCTCAACCAGAACTTCTACGAATGGCCCATACCAAGTTCTTGCTATTCTGTAGACTAATTACTGAAACACAGTGACCAGGCCTATATGCCTCTACGAAATTATTTACATGAGAATGGCAAATATTTATACCGAGCGAAAACACTCGACAACTTCTCAGCACTTGACAATTTTAAATGTCTAAAACAAAACAACTATATACTTAGATTATACAGCTCTGCATAGCACTGCAACACGTGCATTTAGTAGCCGATATCACCGAGGTAACATGCACTAGCTGAAACTGATGTGAACATGACCTGAAGTATATCCACCCTACGATACATGTTCCACAGACATTATCACCAATTAAATGCGGCCTAGCTGAAAATCATCTAACCCAAGACGGCCGGCTCAATTCGATTCACATCCCTAGCCTAAAATGTGCGGCCAACACTTATGCTCGAATGCACGCTGTTTCTGCCTCTGTCGACTATTCTGCCTTCCATTCTAAATATTATTGAAAGAGTTATAATAGCATGCTGGGCAAATGCTAGCTGCATGGTCACTTCCCAGTGTAAATGCAACACAGTGAACACACACATCCGAGTCAACTTCAAATTAAAAATCACAGTGTAACTAAAGCATTATAGTCTGAAGAACTGCATGCATGTCTAGAGGTGCACAACGTGGTTAGTCAAAACTAGTATAGTATATTATATTATATATATATATATATAATATATATTATATATATTATATATATAATATAACATATATATATATTATACATTATATACATTATACATTGTTAACACATAATATGTAAATGTATATAACATTGTAATTAATTACATAATTACATTATACATTATATACATTATATATATAAATTATATATATATACATATAACATATAATATATATATAATTATATATATAATATATATTATATTTTCGCAGGGATATACCTTTGACCAACATGAACAAGTTTATGCAATAAGTGAAACCAGAATATCACTAAACTTCATGAACTGCAGCCTATATACGACAACGACTGTACTAACCATGCAGGTAATGGCTATATGGGACATAATCTGATTTCTACCGTGAACTGTGACATTCAAGCGCGTGTGAAATTTGATATGACCGGGTGAGTGTGGTCACCTGTACAACTACAGGCAAGCTCAATCCAGAAAATTGGTACTAGGAAAGACCATCACATTTCACTACAATCTGTAGCCTATGCTCACACCAGACAAAATACCCGATGTCATGCAGTTTTACTAAAATCTTTATATATAGCCTATGCGGCCAAACGACATAAACTGTACTAATTGTCAAAGAAAACAACCACGCCAATCAGCCATCAATCAGCTGTTGATAAACAGGTTTTCTGACCTAGCTCTGATCGCGACCCTCAACAATGCAAAATGCGTACATTACAGAAAGTCCTAGATTGCTTTTAGTCACGCATTCCATTAAATTTTGACTTTCTTGTCCTTTCTTGTCCTGATCTAGCTAACATTTGCAAACTGCTGCTGCACAGCTGATAGCGGTTATTCCAGTGACATTTACTTTGGTCTGAAGACAAATTGTTGCCCAACTGAAAGCACCAAGATTTGTCTTTTTTTTATTTCACAAGTCCGACACATTGTGACGCGTAGAAGTGATTTATTATATTTCATTACTTGATGATATCATTAATAGTTATACTACGACAGAACTACAATTTGCAATGCCCACCCAAACTGCACTATGCAAAAGTAAAGCGTTTGCTCCAAGTTTAATTGTTTATAATGAACTTGAAAACACACGTTTAATAATGTGTACTGGGATGTGTTTCATTCAGCAGGATAGTGCATGCCGCAAAAACAGCCGTTTTATTCCGTATTTTTCAATTACCCGCTCAAGCCGTTTATTATATATAATAGCTGCTGCGGCCGTTTATCAAAGGAGGCTGTTAAGAGAAGACATACCACAGACTGACGCGAGCAAACCACCCAGCAAACACTATAATAGCACGCGCGCGCGTAAGCGGCATTTCTCTGCCAGTGTGGAATTAGTTCATCTAACCGCCGGTAATCACGAGATGATTGATCTCAGCGACTACTTAGCAAACATGTAACCGTGAGGCCATGGAAAACTTTACAATAAACGACCGTTAGTGCCTTTGTGAAAACTTGATGACCAATGAACAATGATAAACACACTACGAACGCCATAAGAGTGGCTTAATTATGAACGTATAAATTGAAATCCTGTCGCAGTAAATTACAACCACCGATAATAATGCCTTTTCCACCCGCCACTGAAAATTATATGTGAAATGAGCACTTTAAACTAATCGCCCATAAATGCGCAAACCATTCGATCAACTGCCGGCATTCCAGAAGACGTAATGTGAGGCTCTCGTCTGCAGCGGACAATATCAACATGCATTCTAACTATACCACCAACGAAGTCCTTTCGCAAATGCTACGGTTATGATGCAAGCAGATGCGTCGCCGCCTAGCTTGTCAATAAGAGACGCTAATGAGGCCACAAATAAACCTGCGCAACAAACCCGCCAGAATTCTTCATGCCACAATATTAGCAAATTCACGATGCTTCACATTTACACCGAGCCACAGCCACCAGTCATTGACCGGGTTCAATATTACTTCGTGATCAACAAGATCGAGACAACGTATTAATTCAAACCAAGTATTTCGGTATACTTATACCTACCGTGCGCAGTGAATACCAACAGCTTACGGCCGAAATTGGCCCGGGTTAAGACTATATGCTGTCAATTTGGTCACACACCGTTTATAGACGCGTAACTGCCCATACTTGCATGTTCAAGTTTATGAACGTTATTATGAGACTGGATAGATAGAGAAAGAAGGGCGTGTTTTCCCCCCGATTCTCATACATCTACTAGTTTGTTAGTTTATTATCAATGGCCATCCACTTGCGCTCCATAAGGGCTTAGTCACTGAAAACAAAGGATTGTGGACGGAGGCAATTCACGGCCTCTGCAGAGGCAGTGTGAACAAGTATGCAACAACGAAACGTACGTCAGTCGATTCACACAGCTTTATCTGGGAGTGATATCCTCAGGGAGTGAGATCAGCATGATACATTCTCGATTACACTGTACGAATGAGGCAACCCAAAAATATCAAACCGAAACATTAGAGACAACTAAATACGAATAATCGACAAGATTGAAATAGGAACGCTTCCATAAAAACACAATCAGGGATTATTACACTGCATAATATATGTTGTGAGACATCGTTTGTTGTAGAGTGAGAAAAACAAGCAAGTAGATAACAGTTAAGGCCTTATATTCAATCAGCGATATCACATCATACAAAGTGCTGTAGGCGATTCAACTACGGTGTGTAAATATGTAGACAAATCAAGAAAATATAGATTATAATAGGTGATCCTATGACATCTTTTATCTGGTTATGAAATGCAGTACAGGTTTTTAATAACCGTGCATTGCCAAGCTAAACTACCTTTACTAAAATTTGCTTCACATCATTATATCCCACACACACGCGCGATCACAATTCGTCATTGTCAATAATTGTGCATTTGTGATTCGTGCAATTCAGTAATGAACAGGAAAACGTGAAGTACGCTTTTACGTACAAAGCATCTCTCGTCATTATATCGCACGTCATACAGAATATTTTATCCCCCCCCCCATTTGTTAATAAACTTTCTTTAGCTGAGTGCAAAGGATTTTAAAAACTACACTTGCAAAATGCATAACCTGTTCCCATGTCTCGTGCATTATAGAAAGTCGCCGAATAAACGTCGTGTTCGCAAATGCTATAGTCGTAACGTACGAACGTGATCACCGTTTACGAGCACTTAATCTTCATCGCTGGCTCGTTACTTGCTACCCGCAGCCACTAATTTGGTAATCAGATCATTCAAGTGGAGCGAGTCAAACATACAGGGGCACTGGTCATGTGCCACCGCTGCGTTCATCACTTATAATTACTTTTAGAAAACCAATTACCATCAAAATCCATCGCATTAAAGGGTTTACACGGTAAAATAAGTTAGCAGCATGCAGCCAATGGCTGCACCGATCCCTAAATCTAGGTGAACGTACCACTCCAAGTCGGTTCTATGAACAGCTTACTCCTAACAAAAGGTGACTTAAAGTGATTACGTCACCGTAAATAATAATTAAAAAAAATATTTCCACTTTTTCACAAAATATAAGTAATTCTGTTCACTTTTTATGGTTAAATTGCTGCATTATACTTCCTATTTTACTATATTGTTCGATGTGAATATACACTCGTGACTCATGCATAGCCCACAGCAAGCAATTATAATGTCAGGAACATAAATTCAAATCGTCCAGGTTTTTTGTATTTTTAACTAGTTGAGAAACAATCTTATCAGGTAAGAATTTGACGATACGGGTATAGTCCCGTTATATAGTTCTTACTTTTAATGTAAACAAAATCCTTTTTTTTTAACAAATTTTACCATAGAAAATTCGTGGGACGTAGTCAATTTAAACCCCTGTACGTCGTCTACTTCACTTACCTTTGATGATCCTTCACCTCCAGCACTTTACCAAAGGTGCCTTCTCCAAGGGTGCCATTGATTTCATCTGGAATAGAAGCCAGCAAACAAATTGGTTCTTGCTCACTGTGGCCTACCCTGTGTTCAAAAACACGCCCTCGCGTTCCCTCTGGCAGGAACGAGGAGGGGAAAAGGGTAGACTTTTACCAAGGGTTCCCTTAGTCAGGCGGCAATCCACTAGCGAGGAAAACAGGAATTGCAATGTGGCCATAATCATAAAGGAGATTGAAAAAATCCACTTGACCTTTAGTAAAGAAACAAATCGGAAATCTCGAGATCAACTTAAAATGACCTTTTCACTAGGAATTTTCCTATAGCTTGTTTTACCTTTTTTTATTCTCTCTACTATGATTGATGCAATGGGAAAATGTATTACTGTATAAACTCATAAAATAGGTATTGTGTTATTTATTACTACAAATATATTACACGAAAATGATCAGCTAGCTCAGATAGATTCAGATAGCTTGAACACTAACATATTAGAGATTGTGAAGTTGCTTGCGAGACGACGAAAGGTCAACGAAATTTACTGAGATACGATGTAGTCGCGCAGTTTTCCCTGTATAAATTTTGGTAACCTCCTCAGGTTACTTTCATGAGAGATAAATGTCTTCCAACTACGTGAAAAAAGATTCTAGTTTCAGTGTCCAATATGCATTACGCGGAGCATGGGACTAGCGAGGATTGCCAGCATGACCTTAGAGAGAGCAGACAAAGGAGAATCATAAGTTGCAAAACAAAATATCATTGATTCAATCTCGCATCGGTCTTGGGAAAAAATGTTGTTCTTTTGCGGAGGTGTAATTCGAAAAATCAACCCCAGCAATTAGAGACAGAGTAAATTGTTGTTCCACGCTGCCCGCGTATGGTGACGGCATGGCGCGCAAGCAGAGCCTGCGCGGGGGAGCACATAGCGTCTGTGCTGCGTCATAACACAAGCGCACACACATGAAAACTCTTATACTATCACACACGACCAGCCATGACTAAATCACCACACCGCTATGACTCCCCAAGTAAGTCTCGCTCTCTCTTCGTCAACATTACGCCATCAAACGGAAAGCAAAAGTCTTCTTCATCAAATAATTATTGCTGAAACAAAATCCTGTCAAGGCGCCGGGCACACATCGGGTCAACTATATACGGGACGTTGTAAGGAAACTCTATTAGGAATTGTTGTCCCCTGGACGAGACCAGAGCCTGGCGACCTCCCCACGTCACTTTAACGAACGAGTGCATAACATAGTTAACGTTACGAGTACTGTGAATGGTAGGTACATCTAGCTTGCAGCCAATCGCCAGGTCGATAGATCAGGTGACCCTCTTCGTCATCTTCTACACTTGGTTCTCCAGGACTTGAGCTGGTGCGGCGACTCTGTGCGGTGGTCAACACATCCTCGTCAGTGTCCGAGCATGGCCAGTAACCAAGGCAGGAGAGCAGGCGGCGATAGCCAAGTGGACACGACACGATGGCGGCGATGTTGGCGACGACGGAGCAGCACGTGGTCAATGTGAAGATCATCAAACGTGCGTGCGTTCGTTCGTTACAGCAGCGTGTTTCGACGGACCAATCCCGGTGTTTAACATACGATAGAGCAGAGGGAAGGCAAGGCCAGTCAAGATACAGTCAACACTGGATGGCACACACGTGCAGCTCCCGGGACGCTGGCGCGGCAGGAATGGCTGCCTGCATCGCAACTGGTGTGCGCGTTTAAGGTGCACGGCTAACCCGTGATACTGAAAGCCTACACTGTTTAGATCGGACCCCCAAGCCCCACGCAGATGTGAACCCGCCCGGGATCGCGCACATACGTACTGTAGACTGAGGTTAGCTGCAAACAGCCCGCCTGTCAGCAGCAGCTCTGACAGGGATGCTGCAAGGAGGCTGCAGGCGTGCCCGCGCACCAAGTGATACAGATACTGCCCTGCACTCGTCTCTTACTGCGTATATATTTAGCAAGCGAACATCTGGACGCGAGCTCTTCTCGGTATATACCTACTATCAGCGCATCGCTCTTCTAGCTCGCGTGCGCCTCAGCGACTTTCTGCAGAATCGGGCAAATTACGATCTGCATGCTTCCCTCAGTTTTATCAGCTTGCCGGAGGGGCAGGAATCTGCGTCCGCTTCATTATACGGGCCGTCGTTTTATCTGCTGCCCTGCGGCAAGCAATCGCTGCGAGCCGCGTAGCCGAAACACGCGCGCAATACAGCTAATATCATTGACCAAACAATTTATTTTCAGATTTACGTGCGAAACTGCGAAGCCAACACGCGACGAGCGAAACACTATTTACATAGTAGCTACATGGATGCGAGCTCGGCGCGAATCGCTCGCGTCTAAGCGGTCACAGCGTAACTACTACAAACACGCCGACACCACTGAACTGAAACACGCCGCGTGGGCAATCTAAAATTGGGCACGCACGGACACGGTGAAATTTTCGTTTTATTCTTCCTAACCTGCTGTTAAACGAGCGAGAAGCCGGACCGCTAGCCAGCCACAAGGAACGTCAATATTTAACAACTCTGCTCGCAGCGCGCGTTTCGCTTGCCTGTCGCCTCAGCTCCCGAGAAGAGTGCGATAGATCACCTGCCAATATATGTTGTGCGATCGCAGATCGAGGCAACTGCCGCGGACACTAGATTTCTACATCAGCCGCTATATCGACAGATTTTATTTCATAGTCGTTTCATTTACGACTGTAAACAGAGAATGGCAGCCAATCTGCCTTACAAGGTTGACGTACGTACCATTCTAAGATTGATAGTTAGTTTCAAAGAGGCTGCATAGATCGAAACCTGCAACTCTTGTAAGGTATGAGGAGCATAACTAACACTTCAAAAGGTCTCTTCGGATTATCATTCACTCGGTTAATTTTACATTAATTAGCGGTTTTACTTCGCACATAGTAGATAATGATATGGGGCTATTTTTGATTATATCACTTTACAGCACACGTGTATATAGGAACATGCAATTTAATGTATGTTACCATGGGTAATACGGATAACTATATATAACCTGGTTGATATTTATAGTAGTTATCTCACAAAATTTCCACGATACATTGGGAGGTGTGTGCGTACACGTACGTATGCGCGCGCGCGTGTGTGCGTGTGTGTGAGCGGGGGTCTTCTAAGTTTAAACACTACCTTCTAAAAATAAAGTGAATAAATTACAATGATATCAGGATCTATATCTAGAAGCTAGTATTTAAACTGATCACACATAGAAGATCAGGAGAAGTCAACTACAACATGCATTTTTCATTTTAAAAATAGAATCATTTTTGGAGTATATATATAAATTATTCATTATAATGATTACAATTAAACAATTTTAGGACTTGAGCTAGCTCTATGCCTTATAAGCTCATCATTTATATAATCGAGTTACCATAGAGAAATGGCTTGCAATTTATTTTGCAGTGTGTATTTGCTGCTAATGACCTAGTGGTGGTGTTTTTTTAATATATCGCTGCAAGGACAGTTTGGGATGTTTTCTCTTAAATATATTTCTATGAATTTCATGCATGTGAAGCATGCTTTATCATTTGGTATTCAATGCATTTAGGTAATAGGGACATGCCTGGGAGGACACTGTGACGCGGCAACATTAAGATGCAAACTACGACAGCCATTCCTGCAATCCAATCGTCCCTGAAAGCTGCAAAAATGTGCCATTTTGTATTAAACTTAAAATAAGAATGTTACAAACCTCTATACTGCAATCTCAACAAAACAATAGCATTATCATGGTCCTATTATGAATGTAATTTTAACTACATTAAATTTTACATCAAAGTTAATATTTCAGTTTCTTTTCGAAATACTGCTATAAAGGATATGAATTTACAGCTTGCAATTTCAAATAAAATGATACAACTTACCCATCAGTTTAACGATGGTCATTGACTTGTAGGTACCACACACCATATATATAAACACATAAACATGCAGAGAAAACAAAAAGAAATCCCACACAAGACACGTACAGCGAAGAGAGGGTAATGCATGCAGTGCAAATCTACATTTACTAAAACTCTAAAGGAAGGAGTGGCTTGGTGAGGATGTACAGACAGCTTCATTGTTAGATACAAGTATTTGTTTTATATGGAAAGTTATAATTACTCGCGATTAAGTAAAATGTTTATTATATCTGCACTTTAATTCACTCCTGTAACGAGCTTTGCTCAATGACACCTAGAGCTATAAAGAAGCGATCAAAATGTCACAATGCTGGATAATGCTAGTCACCACAAACATTGGCAGAAGCTGAACACGAGGAAAACATCATTCACGAGAGGGTATATTATCTCATCCGCCACGCATAGCGTACAGAACTCTATCATTTCGTGCTGCTGCATGCCTGTGACTTTCAACATTACTTTCAGTTAAACTGGGTTTTACGTTTATGCCACATTGCCTTGGATATAGTTTAGTGTTATGGATGGCAATATTGCTTGTGCTGCCTCTCGGCTGAAATTTATTTTCACCTACTGTGCACCGGAAGCTTTTAAATTATTTACGATGATAAATGATAGCAAGATTTCATCTTTCATTAATAGTTTCTGTTAACTCGGATATGGACTACGAACTTCATATAAAAACGTTAACTGCCTTACATTAGCCTTCGTACAGTCACTCTACCTATACATATCACGTGAAGGTTACCGGGACTGCTGATGTTGGCGCTACTGTTACGGCTACTGCTGCTACTGCTGCTGATGGCCTGCAGCCGCCGCTACCGCTACCGCTGACGCCACAGAATCACTGAACCAAATTTAATCAGTTTGAAGGCAGCCGAGACACATGGTGCATCTGGATGCAGTAAAAAAAGCTGGGTGCCAGCCCCGCACCACCCGCTCGCTGGTTGGGGATGTTTAATAAACTTAGCAGAATCGCTGCCAGAGTAAGAACGTGCTCTTCATTACGACTGCGAGTAACTTTCTGCGCCGACATATATCAGAATTCAATTATTGCTCAGACATGCAAGGCGAGTACTCCTACAAATCATACTAAAGAAACAGCCTGACTATACTGTAATGCCGGCATTATGTACTGTTTTCATTTAGTGTGTCCAACACGCGACGATAACTTAAACTACAAACTGCAAGAATGCATTTTGTTATTGTCTTCTGAAATTACAAAATATCACTATGGCATTTATGTGGTGTACGTGTTCTCCAATGATTACCCCAAAATGTTTAAAAGACCGATTGAGTTCGATGAGGAAACTTCTATGAAGGCTTCCTGTCAATAGTCTGCAAACACCTCAGTGTCTATAATGACACTGTGAAATGTTCGGTTTAGAAGCGTCCCGTCTAGCCTCAAACGAGCTGTTAAAAAGAATAATGGCCTGAAATCATGTTTAACTGTTGCAGATGCTTTTCCTTTTGCAAAATCAACTGCTGAACTCATTCAACTTTTCTCTCCAACCACAGCCTGCTGTCCTGATAGTACAATGCGAAGGCAGAGCAATTAGATTCTATAGGTGAAGCATGATTGCCGGGAGAGCCTATACACGCATTGGCAAGACATTGAGATATGCATACAGGAAAGGAGTATTGGCGATCTCGGTCGAAACTCTTGACCGTTTGTTTGTCTATCCGCTGAAAAGCACGTGTGAGAGTGCTGTATTTCTTCACAATTTACGACCAATTCTCTTATTTGTGATATTGTTTAATGACTCACGAAATGCTGTGACCATAGTAGATATCAGAGGAGCATAAAAATACTGTGTCGATACGTTTAAATGCTATTACCAAAACACCAACAATGAAATTAAGATGGTTTTGTTGAGGTATTCGTGTCTTTAGAAGATTGCTACACACTAGAGACAGGTAAGGGTAAAGGAATATAGCATGGAATGTGTTCTAAAGTGAAAATCTCAATTTAGGCAAACACATATAGAGAAAAAGACTTACTGCAACTATAGCCAAAATAAATGTTTTTTAGGTTTACGCTATTTTAAGCACATACCTAACACTGATTAATGCATTACAAAAATTACATACAATTATTTATGCTGCCTGAATGCTGTTATCCTATTTATGTTAATTCTACCTAGGCTCCAGAATATATAGTCAATAGAAACTACACAGCCGCAATCCGCAAATGAAAGCGATATAGCTAGCACATGACTGCAAATTTCATGCTGACAATCACGGTTAATATTAATCGATTCTGGTTGTGATAAGTCCTTTTCGCTATATAGTGTCATTGCCTTAATTCACTCAGTACCTACCTCTGTTGGCTATAGTTTCTCACTAAGGTTATTACAAACGGAAATATGGAAAGACAACAGACGGCGAAGAATGTTACGAGGGATAAACAGAGTGTGAAGAATAAACTCCATTGAACTCCCTCCCATGCCAAAAACGGGGTTTCTATTTCAGTGGTATCTGTCAAGATGTGAGAGGATGATGATGAACTTACGATAAACTTTGTCAGCAGTACAGGGCGCTTCCTTCCATCCGCAACAGCAAAAGTCTTCGACTGGCCAAAACTTAGAATTGGAAAGCGGGCCGTTTGGAACTGGGGAAACTTTTCATGTTTCTCCTTAGAGAAAATAAAAATTTTCCGCTTGATAAATCACACAACAGGATTCTCTACTCTCGTAACTCAAATAGCTGCATCTCCATCTACACATTGAAGCCCATGCAGGCTCTAACTATAGCAAGAGCTAGTACACCACACGAGTGAGAAACGAGCAGTGCCTTAATGAAGAGAATTGTCTGTTGAACTCATTCCTGTGGAGCACATTATTATCATGTACAGTTATGATTTGCGTCTATAAAGCATCGAAAAATCAGATGATATGACACAACAAAATGCCCAGGTGGCAAGGAATGCCTACATCATTAGTCTAAACCTCCACTACGAGAAAAAATTAGTGAATCTTAAAATGATTCGAATATTTTATGCTGCCAGAAAATTAGTAAAATTAAAAGGTTCTGGTTAAGTTGTCTTACAAACACAAGTTAGTCACACTGCTATGTATTCTGAAGTAGAAAACTCTTAAACCAATTTACAAGTTACTTTCTACAAGTTATTTTCTATGATAAATAAAAATAGATCAAACTAAATAAATGTTTCAGAAAGCTCTTTTTTTAAATAGCCTCTCTTTCTTCTGACCAACACAAGCAAGCATTCCCACTACATATATCTGTATGTTACAACAATAAATGTTTTTAAAATATACAAAGAATCCCTCCTTTCCATCCGTGTGACATATTTTCGTAGAATATACTAGTGTATATCAACCGTATATATACTAGTGTATAGTGAACCCTTTACACTTTCTTTTTGATTGCAAGCGAAGGTGCAAGAAGCCTCATGAACAAAAAAAACTGTCGCATTCCAGTTTCATCACTATGCACAGAAGAACAGTGCGTTCAATACGTTCTGAACAGTCATGCGGTACCTTCATTAAATTATATTTCAGATCTAGCAAGGAAGATGTTCACGACTGAAGCACGTGCGCACATGGCGTGAATATCATGTACCTACCTGTGCTCGCTCTAAAGAAACCAGACTCAACAGATTCATGCATCGAAACAATGCTATTACTGAGTATTACTAGCCGTATTACGTGTTATTTACAAAACAAGTATATATATACCAAGTATTGTTGTACTGAGACAAGCTCAGGAGCACATACTGGTAAACTGATACCAACAAAGGCCCGAGGAATGCCAGTATTGATGCTGTTAGGAAGCCACTCTAACTTACATCTCGACTTTTCGAGGTCGGTAGGAAGCGGTAGGTACTTATGTACGTCTTACAATCTCCCATCTTACGAACTATTTCCGTCATCTGGCTTCACAGAGCAAATATATCACATGCAGATTTAACAGCGAGGACACATTAAGATTCCCCAAATGACGAACGATCCACCACAGCTGCAGTACAGTAAACTTGGACGTATGGCAGTGGCAACTATACAAACATATTCTTCTAGAACCATATCCAGAGTCTCTGCGTGTGTCCACTATAAACCGCTGCAATTCTCGTCCCCATCGCTAGATTGCAGTGTCACGAGAAGCAATTCGAAGTAGCCGCCGCTTGCGGCAGTACTCCGCGGCCACGCACGTTACACGGATTCGAGCGTATCAGAAAAGTAGCGCCAGCAGGGGAGCATGGCCCAAAACACAGCCGCTAGAACCAAAAATACCCTACCAAGTGCTCGTGATGTTACGGGCGTAAGGCACGCGTGTGCCAAGCCACTCTGCGTCACAGACCCGCAGCATCAATCACCAGCAATGAGGCACGCTCTACCCATCCCACCAACGGGCCGACCCTAGATCTGGTGTCTTGGCTCCACATGCAGAGTTCACATCTGCCAGCTAACGAGTAGCGAATATAACCGCGTCTGCAACGCTGCCTACCGACGGAATTTACCGAAAACAAGATGCTATATGTTAAAACAATTTCTTTGGTCGGTGAGCGCGTACACGCGTGAATTCTGGAGACAAAGGTGCAGACGGTCATCCTGGTTTTTACGGGAAGGGGATGCAGAGTTCATGTAGTCTCACTTAAGCATGCCTTCTTGTACACGTACGCACGCATTCCCTAGAGACGAACTAGTTTTAAAAATTAAGTACGGACACATGCCCGCTGACGTAGCCATGGCCTCGATCGTGGTCTGTCTACAAATAACGCGTTGTCAACATGTTTTCTTCGCAGAGCATCTTGACTAGCAACGTTGTATCGTTTTTACACTGCACTTGGTGCATCAGGTGTAATGTAGCAACAACACAGCGCAACACAACACTTGCACAGAAATCTAGTATTGTAACCTGATAAATAACCTATTATTGCCACTAAAAGTGGAAAAAGTGAAAACTAAAGATATAAGATTTTGAAAAATGATTTCCTCATGATTATATCGCGACCAGCATTGTTCGAAGAAAATTTTTCGGCCTCGAAAGTCAGGACGTATAGTGGCCCTGAGATGAGCAGGGTATATGCTCTTGCTCTCCAGTCGAACAGATGCTAGCGGTACTAAACTATAGTGATGCTCTCCGGTTTCCTCGACAAAGTATAGCCGGCTCCCGTGCCGCCAAGCTTGCCAAACACGCGCCACACGGCGAACAACAACCGCGGCTTGTTGAAGTAAGTCGTGTGTAACGATTGTATTGAAGCTCACAAGTAACCAACGAGGAAATTAAAAAACACATCGTAAGATTGCAGCGCCACTATGTGTAAGCTTGGAGCGCGTGTAAGATTTCTGGTACACATTAATTTTGGTAACGTTCGAAATATATGCTCTCTCTGTTTCCATATTCAGCACCAAACGCCTATCATAAACAAAAATATATCCACACCGTATTACAATTAAGTTACCCAGAGAATGCTGTGAGCAGATACGCCTGTGATATCAGTATTAAAAAAATCGCCATAAACTCACCAGATCATGAGGCGAAAATATTCAAAGAACCACCAACTACATCATTATCCGTTACAATATTCACGCTCCCTCAGAAATATATTACATATAATAAATATACTACGTTCTATGATTTAAGCAACCCCTCCGACCACTATGCATCTTCAGGCCAATGACCCGGCCGGCCCCCCCCCAGGTTGAAATTCCAGATTGAAATTGTAACCTTTACCAAACGTTCTCCACCCATAGCACCACACACATATATTAGTTACCATATGTCATACCAACTGTAATCAGGCTATGAGGTTAACCAAACAGGCAGTGTCAGACTAGATCATATTCCCTATTAGCTGCTCTGCCTGAAACGCATAATTCCTGACACATTTCATCCGACTCGCGCTGTTAGCTATACCAACCGCATAAAAGCCATCATAGGGTTCATAATGCCCTTGCTAATGTCAAAATTACCACATAACCATAAAATGTCTGCAAGATGTGATATTTTTGTTGGGAAAGCTAAACATTAATTATACTACAACCGCTAATTACACTACAAAGACCAGAGACAATGTGTGAAATAATTAAGAATGCAAATTAAATAACAGCTACGCACAGTACGGCAATGTTTACAACGTGTGATAGAGCAGTATCACCCGATCGGCTCTACGCGCACATTACTCGCTCGCTCGTATATATTATAGCGTGTGGCAAACGCTAGCCATGCATCCGGCCACACTACAGGGACCCATCTGGATGTATGCCGCCTTACTGAGATCGCAATTAAAGAAGGACAAACAGTAGCAGAGATATGCGCACGGAATCTGTACATCACGGCTACACGAGCACTAAGTTGCTTAAATCCACCCTGGTGGCAAGTGCACGTACTAAACAACCGAACCGAGCAGTTAACGATATACGCTCAGCGTTATTACCGCCTGTGCCTCTACGCTGCGACTTTGAATGCGAACATTGCGCGGAACATTCTCCTCAATGAATGTTTAATCGAAACACATAAAAGTTTCCGGAAAAGCAGATCAAATCAAAACCAATATAACGCCGGAAGATTCATGACTGCTTTTCACGTGGCAATCACACAACCGATGTGACATTCAGCCATGGAAACATAGCGCTACATCATTGCAGGTAGAATTGTTCGACTTCACTTTTCTTCCATGAACTGAAAATTTTTGTATCAGCAAAATAACCTTTACTTGGCATTCAGTAGCGACGAATAGACAATGCCGGCAGCTGATATCGAAATCAAGCGAATGCAGACAAAATCCGTTCGAGGATATTAATTTGCACTGTAAGTGAAACTCGTAGGGTATAGAGGCTGGAATGGTGCTAATGGCTATTGCCTAGTGCAGTTATCACGCGAACTGCACGATACATATAGCCGCGTTTATTCCTAGCTTGTATAGCATTCATACTGTAACTCGGCAGGCTGAATTCCAAGTATAGATGTCATTAATTAAATTTGTGGTTAGGTATCCGATTCGAAATAAAACTATTCACAACACCTCCGACAAGTAATATTGGGCGAAACAATTAAAACAGGAAAATTACTTCCCTTCTAAAAACCTTTAGAGGTAAGTGACAGAAAAGGACAATTCGTTGCTATATTTTCATACCTATATATAACACGTTCAGGGACTTTTAACCGTTTCAACAATAGCTCAGATTTATGAATAGTATATCTATTTCTTTATTCAATGAATAGAACCTTTCATAAAAGAATACATATAATTGCAGTTCTTTCACCATGCACTTTTCTGAGGTGCTTGATATTTGACAATGATGTTACAATACTACGGAATTAGTACAAAATTGTGAAGAATTATGCTACCGTTTGCAGTTGCTTAGGCACGTAAGGCACACACAGGCAGGTAATACTTCAATTTTAATTCTTCGTCAATAGAAATGAGACATGTACAGTACTCGCTTTTATAAGTTTTTTTTTTTACATTTCAATGTAAACTTGGATTAGTCAACAGACAATAGACAACAATACGCAGAGGAAATATAAATGACCTATCTCACTTGATATCGATTTTAGCTTCACCAACACAGCTCTTAAGCTTACATTGATTCAAGAAACAGCATTAGTAAATTATCAAGACTCAATATTTGCACTCAAATCGCTACTTGACTCTTTCCATCGATTTTCTATCGAAAATGTTAAGTTGGAAATCAATCGACTTTACCAGTCGTGTGAGTGTAGGGAGGATGGACATTGTGATAACCTTACTCCTTATGCCTAGGATGCCTCACAGCTGTTCCCCTGGTTCAATTCCGAAAGTCAGCTTATTCGCCATATGCCACGTACCACATGAATTTCGTCCAAATTAAGTAACTGTAAACTATTTTCAGACAGGCAAAATAGAGCAATAACCATACAGCTATAGGGTGACAACATGCACGGGGCAAACTGCATAACACAGTGCTATTCAACCTTTTTTGAACTTGTTCACCCCTAGCGACTCGACTTCTGAAGTCATTCACCCCACTATCCCATTATCCATTTTTTTTATTACTTTTGAAACTGCAATGCTTAACTAAGTCCTAACCCAGTACTGTCCTAACCTAACCTAACCGTACGAACTAATGTGACGGCTGTTGTTGTATGCTGTCCGCGATTTTGTCAAATCTGGGCTCGAGTTCTGATAGCGCCCCTCTCATGAGCGTGTCCACGTCTTCAATTGAGGCTCGCTGCTTGGTCTTGATGCCCGCCAGGGCTGAAAATTTCTTTTTGCAAAGGTAGGAGCTGGGCATTGCTACGAGGGCGCTTACAGCTTCTTCAGTGATTTGTTGGTACCCGGGGATGGGTAGCAGTGATATTCCAGAAGTGCACTGTAATGTCTCCAAAAGTCTGAAGTTAACGGGTTCTGGACGAGGTGCGGTCTGGCGCGTTTGCTAACATCTTTCGCTTCGTCAGAGCCACCGCACAAAAGGAATTGATTTCCACTGCTTTTTTGGCAATTCTCCGTGCTTCTCCTTCTTCGGAAAGTATTTGTTGAAATCGATTGAAGGCAGTGTGAGGTGGTCGACCACCATTTAGTTACACTGGTCTGGCAACGACTCCTCTTCATCTCCATGCACCACCAAGTTGGATCCTCGCATGAAAGAGTCTGTAGCTAAGAAAGTCCGAAAAATCAGCATTCTCAACCTTCTGTTCCACTGTTCGATCTCTTTTCGAAGCGCGTGTACCTTAGAAATCGTAATGAATCACGTCGCCATCAATTTCCTTGAGAGCCCAAGGTTCAACTTGTTCAGGTGGCCGGAAGACATCTGCAGCCAAATAGGCCACACCTGCTGAACGACACGCCAAAAGTCATCGTTGAAACCGAGCACAGCCTTCTCGTCTGCTTGCTCCGTGAAAAATACTGTGCAATTCTTCTGCCGAAAGCCAGAACTCGGTTAGCAGCTTTCCCCACCTTGATAACTCAGCGAACGCCACTGTGGTAGAGCAGTTCGAAATATTCGGATCCATGTCCTTGCAAAGTTTTACTGAACATCCGATGCTTCTTCGTGTTGGCTTTCACTGCATTCACGTCTTCACAACGTCCTCCAGTACCAGTTCATTCTTCTCGGTCTTGTCCGATCCTATCGGCTTTGCAGCCAAGGCTTCTCTGTGAATCATACAGTGTGTGGCGACGCAAGTTGGCGACACAGCTTGGTTTTTTTTGACAAGCCCGTTCACTCGTCCAGTCATTGCCGCTGCTCCGTCTGTGGTCATAGCCTTGCATTTATCCAATTGCACATCCCCTTTATCCAAGAACTCAGTCAGCTTGTCAAAAATTGCTTGCGCAGTGGTTTCGACTCCTACCGGTACACAGCACACGTAGTGGTCGACGAGAGTTCCCTTCTCCAAGTCGGGGATATGG